TTGCTTTTCAAGTTAATAATTTAAGTTATAGATAGATAAATTTTAATTTAGTATTATTACATATTTGCTTTTTAAATTTTTTATTTTAAAATGAGTCATATTGGCTATTTACTTTTTAAATTTTTTTAATTTTGAAATTTGTAGGATATAGTTGTACAAAGTCATTCTATTTTGCCTTCATCTGGATCCCAAAATGGTTAACATCTTAACATAGTTTCCATTCCCTCCTACTCACCCACTCGAACACATCTTATCATTGATCTTCTGACCACTTGAGAATAAGCTACAGATAGTCCAGTTTATTTTTCCTGAAAACAAGAATTCTGACCAATGTCATCACCATATAAGCCTCCAAATCAGGAAATCAATTTAATACAGTACTACTATCCAATCTACAGAGTCTATTCAAGTTTTACCACCTGCCAATGTCACTTGGTCACTTGTTCCCATCTGGTCCAAGATCCAATGCAGAAACATATGATCCATTTAGCTATCTTATCTTTTCAGTCTCCTGCAACCTGAAACGTTTCTTCAGTTTTCCCTTTCACTAACTAAACTATTTTAAAGAATAGAGGCCTATTGTTCTGTAAGACAACCTGCTGCTTTTTCTCCTCCTCCTCTCTCTCTCCAACCCCCCATACACAGAGAAAACCATTTTTCTTTCAGTGGCTGCTACTTCATGCTTCTATTCTCTGCTGTCTCTTCTATGTGGTCTTCAATAGTTCCTCAAGATCAAATTCAATGGCATGAATTCCCCAGAAATGACACTCTTCTTAGCACAAGAGTCAGGAGGCATACCATGCTGATTTGTCCCACCTGGTCAAGCTGGTGTTTATTATAAAAATATCACTTTCTTGTTTTGTGGTCAACTGAGTATTTGGAGGGAAAATATTCAGAGATTATGCTAATATTCCATTCATCATAGAAGCTATAACCACTAGCTTTAACATTCTTTGAAGACACCTGCCTAAATCAACCACCACTCTTGGTTACCAAATGGCAATTTTTCTTTCTATATAATTCCTTCTATATTTATTAGTACACACTTTACACTAAGTAAGAGATTTTCATTCTCCCCCCTTTTTAAAAATACATTTATATCAGTATAGACTTATGGATTCCTAGTTTATGCAAAGAGTTATATTCAATAACCACCATTATTTATTTTTATGTTCAAATTGTCCCAGATTTCAGCAACTTTGACCTGGTTTCTCTGTCATTTTGATATGCTAACATCATTTGTTAAGCATTTCCTTACTTTATGGCACAATAAGATGCTCCAGGCTCATCTTGTGCGTTCCCTGCCTGCCCTGATCCTTGAGTCAGCCTTACGTCTGAGGAGTCCTCATTCCTCCTAGGAGAGCATAGTATTTAGAAATCAATGCCCAGGCACTTAGTGTGATCATTATTACCGGGGTTCCGTAGCTTTCAGGCTCTCTCAGAGGACACCTAGAAAATATGTGTGTGTACACATATATACTATCTATAGCTAGCACTATATCTGCCTGTTCCTATATATTGAAAAAGAAAACATCATTTATAATATCTCCAATTCCAACATAACACCAATGGTATTTTCCTGCCTTCCCTCTTTCCACGTTTGTTTATAAATCTTTTCTCCAACGGTGAGAAACATAGCTCTTATTATCCTCAATAACTTCTTTGCTCTATATAGCCAATCTCCCAACCACACCAGACCCTCAGGGAAGGTACTTGCTTCCCATCAGCACTTTCTCATTACGGGCATGCCAATCCCTCCACTCCTGGAAAAGAAGAGAAGAGAAGGCAAAGGCTAGGGAAACGGGAAAAGAAAGGAAAGGAAACAGATACTTACTTTTAAAACACCTTCCACAGCCATCTTCCCTTCCTGCCCTAGTAAAACAGTGTATGGATAAAGCCACTGGATTGCATGTTTGATTGACATCATAGGAAAGGAATCCTATTTAGGAGCAAAAATATATGGTAATGAGCAACATCTGAAACGATCATGGAAATTTATCTGAAACTTGCATATGGCATTAAAATTCCCTTATAAAAATAACCAATAGGCTTCTGGCATTTTCTAGAAGTCTACAAAAGCAAATATTCATTATTTCCTCTTCTCTTCCTGTTCCATGCCCCTTTTCTAGGTGAGCTCACCCACTCCCATCTTTCACCTATCATCTGTGTGACGGTTTCCATGCTTCCATGTCTAGTCCTGGCCTCTTACTGAAGCCCTAGACCTGAGCCCTCAATTGTCTATTACACATGACTATATGAATATCCCAGAGACTCCCACTTAAAACAGAACAAATTTCCCTACCTGACTTATCCCAGAGTACATCATCCTTCTTTATTCTTAAATACAGTGTTTATTATCCTCAAGTCTTTCTCCCAAATCAAACTGCACTCTCAGTTTTGTTCACCCCACTTTAAAGTCTACTGACAAAAATAATTAAGGAAATTTCAGTATGAACTAGTAGGTGCTCCTACAGAATTACTATTAATATGATACAGAGTACGACAATGGTGTTCTTGTTTACAGGAGAAGATCCTAATTCTTTGAAGTTGTATACTGAAGTATTTAAGAGTAATGACTGCAATTTACTTCCAAATGGTTCAAAAAAAAAAAAAAAGGAGACCACAAGCAAATGTGTCAATATATTCTAGGTGAATGGACTATGGGTGTTTATTTTGCTATGTTTCAACTTGTTTTAGATTTGAGAATGTTCAGAGTAAAAATTTCTGAGCAAAAACAAAAAGAACAAAAAGTACACAATTTGATAAACGAGAGGAAAAATGCCATTCTAGATGTATAGAATAATGTAAACAATACCTAACTCCTGACTCACAGGAAACAAAACTGAATGAACAACACACACACACACACACACACACACAGGTACAATGAGTGTTTAAAAATAAGAGTCTCTTGCCAAAGACAATATCTCCACTCCCTTCAGTGGCAGCCTCCGCCGTAGGGTCTCACTGTTACAAAAGCCTCCTATTTGTTCCCCATGCATCTAGATTCTCTTTTCAGCCCTCCTCACTGTCAACAAGGGTATCTTCCTCAAATATAAATCTGATTACTTCATATCCCACCTACTTCATACTGTCTGATTAGCCACTTCTTGTATATCACAAAATCCAGGCTACTTCATTCACCATGCAAAACATTTCATTACATGGTTTTAACTTCTCCCTCTACCACACACACTTGTTCATGCTTTGTCCTATGCCTGGAAGGCCTTTCAATCACTTTAGACACAACTGCCATGCCTGTTGTAAAACTGTAGTGCACAATCTCTCTACTCCATCAAATTCTCTCGAGATCTGTTTATATTCTTTCTTTGGGCCTCTCAGATTCCCTTTCCAATAGCGAGGTGCTGCAGAAGTTTTTAAGAAGATTGTTCTTGGGTCAGCGCCTGTGGCTTAAGTGGCTAAGGCTTCACCCACATACACCTAAGGTGGCGAGTTCAAATCCAGCCTGGGCCCACCAAACAACAATCATGGCTGCTATCAAAAAATAGCCAGGCGTTGTGGCGGGCGCCTGTGGTCCCAGCTACTTGGGAGGTGGAGGCAGGAGACTCGCTTGAGCCCAAGAGTTGGAGGTTGCTGTGAGCTGTGATGCCACAGCACTCTACCCAGGGGGACAGCTTGAGGCTCTGTCTCAAAAAAAAAAAGATTGCTCTTGAGCCATCTCAGGGTATCCAACCTTTTTTCTTCTCTGACACACTCTGGAAAAGAGCTGCCTTAGGCCACATGTTAAATACACAAACACTAAAGAAAGCTGATAAGCAAAAAAAAAAAAAGTCCATGCATAATTTTCAAGATATCTGATATTATCAAGATAATAAAACAAAAATCCTCATATAATCCACACACAACCTGCAGGCTGCAAGTTGAACACCCCAGGAGAGCCACTAGAGTTTGAGAATTTGTGTCCCTTGAGATGACTATTACCCAGTGACAGATGGGTTCTACAACAGGAAAGCCCCAGCTGCCTGCCTCAGGCTGGGACAAGCCTGAGGCCTAACTCACACTGACTGCAGCATACCTCTTACATGATTAGCTGAAGTCTTCCTTCTCTCTATGAAACTTGCTGAGACCGTATGTCTACCTCCTTTTCCAAAGCTGCCAGTTCTTTAGGGGCTCAGAACATGACCTTGGTCTCCGTGCGGTTTACTGCCTTGTACAACAAATTAATCTCAGGTCTTCTCATATTTATAGAGTAATGTGACAATGCAAACTGAATTAATTCCCAGTAATTAGCTTCAAATTTTCTTAGCTAAATTTGGATACATCAGTTATTAACTTATTTCACACATACCAGGATTTGAACTGCAGCAGGTAAACTATCTAAAGGAAAATCTGGAAGTCCAAGAGTAGATGATTCTTGGGAACAGAGAGTTGTGGCAAAGGATAAGAGCTGAGAAACTCTAAGGGGAAAAAAAATATATTAAATTTTATTGTAATAGTTTTATAAAATGAAATATATAAGTCTATTAAATGTAAAATACCTAGGCTAATTTAATCTAAAAAGATGATGCATATTGTTAATTATTAAAGAACAGTGGCTCCATATCATAATATTCCATTTAAAAGTCAGAAGCTAACTAGATACAAGGATGTATTTCTATATTCATCACAAAATGTGAGGTTTCTCACAACCTTGCCCAAATCTACCCTGCCAGCCTCATCTCCCACCTAATTCCAAACTTAACCACTAAGAGCTTTAGATAGCCCTAAGAACAAGGCATAAACTCTCATAGCCCATGCTTTAAAAAAAAAACCTCTTATAATTCTTCAATTCTACTCTCAACCTGGCAAAAGCCTACTCATTTACAGGATCCATTTCAAACACCAATGCCTTTGTGAAGCCCTTACAAAGTCTCAACCAGAAATAGCCCCAATATTTTAAATTTTGGCACTTAACTACACTGTGTTCAACTAATCTATTCAGAAATCTTTTTGACTCTACTACGTCTTCAGTTTCTTGGCATCGAAGATCATATCTTAGTAACACTAGCACTTATTAAACCTCCTAACACTGAAAAATTCTTCAAAGAATAGTTGTTGAATGAATGAATCAATGAAAGGGGAAAATAAATTTAATGTTAAATGTTCAGAAATTTATAAAAAATATACTTACTTCTCAGCAGAAACACTGGCTCCAATTGAATATAACAGTTTAAGTTGGTCCTAAAATAAGATAGAAACACATCATCAAATCAAGTGATAAGAATTGTAACTGATTAAGTGTAATCAGTTGATCAGTAGATTACAGACATAATCTAACCTTTTAAATTAGGCAGACAATTAAGTAACAGGAAAAAAAATCATTTCTTAATACATTTCATTTTCTGAAATCATTTTTTAATACATTTCATTTTCTGTTTAAAAGAACAGCCTTTTAAAAGACTCTTTCAGATAAATAATGCCACAATAATTTTTTTCCTAGTTTATACAAATTTTCATTATGTTCTTTTTTTTTCTTTCTATTAACTTCTGAAGATATCTAAAAATATAGTAAACATTTTAATAGAATTGAAATTTCTTCTTATGAATAGAAAAACTATTTAAAAAATAGATTATCCTTGGTCATACTTACCTTGAAGGGTAGATAATAAACATCTCTGGCTTGAAATCGAGAACGGAGAGGAGGGTCTAATGGATTCCCAGAATACCTCGGCACTGGCAATCCCAAGGCAATTACTCGGAAATTTTCATTAACTCGGACAATCTTCCAAGCATCCAATTCTGTTTTAGTATGATCCTATAAAAGTAGGAGGCCCCAAAAGACCACAGCATAAATGATACAGACTACAACTGCAAGAGCTTCCAGGCAGAAGAAATTAGGCCTTGACTATTGAGAAAAATATTTGAGAACACTCTCAAAACCACACTGCCAAGAAAGAAAGCAAAGGAAAGCAGAATCAGGATGCCAGGGTAAGCTCACAACACGAAAAACTGTGTTTGACAGGAAAAGCAGCCAACTCCCCTAGGAACAAAGAAGACCTGGGCCAGATCTCCTAAGCTCTGTCAGTAACACAGCGGGATAGAGTCAGAAAGGTAAACTGAGGTTTTAGATCACCAGCAGGATGGACTGCCCATGGACCTTACGTAGGCAACTATGTTTGCTAGTATATTTCTAGTAAGGCATATTATTAACTATGTAATAACTAACATGTTATGAAAACTTACATGATAAGAACATTCCATGGATTTTTTCTCATTTAACTTTCACCAGAATCCTAATAGACACCTAATCTCCTTTTAATATGGAAGAACAAACTTAACTTCAAAGGATTCATATAACTTACCCACGGTCTTGGAACTAATGGAGCTGAGAGACTGGCAATAGCACAGGTCATGGAGTCACAAAACTTGGCTCAGCTGCTTGCACACTCTAACTAAATGACCAGGTTTGGCGCCGGCCATATACACCGAGGCTAGGGGGTTCAAACCCAGCCTAGACCAGCTAAACAACAGTGACAACTGCATCAAAAAATAGCCGAGCATTGTGGCAGGTGCCTATAGTCCCAGCTACCTGTGAGGCTGAAGCAAGAGAATCCTTAAGCCCAAGAGTTTGAGATTGCTGTGAGCTGTGATGCCATTGCACTCTACTGAGGGTGACATACTGAGACTCTGTCTCAACAAAAAAATAAAAATAAATGACCAATGGCATGTTATTATACCCTTGGAGCTTCAGCCTTCTTATCTAGAAAGTAGAAATAATATCACCTACATTATTATGACAGCTATGAAAACTAAATAGAAGAATGTATATGGGCCATGTTAAATGTCATGTCTTTCCTTCTCTGCCTAACTCTATCAATAGCTCTTCACAGTCTCTGACAAAGTTTACTTGAACACAAATTTGTACATTCTAAGAGAAAGGTCCACAGCTATCAGCAGCTATTCAGAGGGTACAGCCCATATGACAGGGTAGAAATGCGTAACATACCCAACAGCCTTTCCTGACAGAAGTCCTGTCTGACTCGTCCTGCCTCAGCAACCAGTACATACCAAACCCCTCAATCCATCTTTCGTGACCCTGGGCTCCAACTCATCTCATAACTTCAGCCACCCAAGTACATTTGCTGCTTTACCAACAACTCTCCAATTGCTTGGAACACCCTTTCCACTCTGCACTGTGTAAACATAGTGTCACTCAAAGCTCAGCACAAACACTAAAAATAAGCCCCTTTATGATCCCCTCCCCTCATTAGAACCACCCTTGTACCCTTCATTGTATCCTATGCAAACCTCTATCATTACATATTTCCAGATTTACTCCTAAACATGACTGTCTCGTGATCCAAACTCTTGAGAGGACTTATTACTTCTAGCACATAATAGAAAAAATGTTTGTTGATCGGTTGCCTGAATTAATTTTAAAAATAGTAAATAATTATTTCAATCACACTTTGCTGTGAACCAAAATCACAAATTGTACAATTATTTCTTAGACTGACAGTATGACATATACACTAGGAAATGAGAGCTCAAACCTAGCCCTGACTAGAAAAACAAGAATACAATCTTCCGAGAGCTAGATATTTCTATTTTTTATTCACCCAAAAATGATAATCAGAATAGAAGGTTCATACAAACTGATTGTATCTGTTTCCATAATAACAAAATTCTACTGTAATCACCTGTATGGAACCAATAACATTTTTGAAATATTAAAATTTAAAATACTGAATTTAGCTAGAAATACAAGTTACAGTGTTAGAATCTTTCTTACCATAGAAATTATCTTTAAATAGCACTGTTTTGTGAAGGGATCTTGCCTGTATTCTCTGAGGCTCTCATAAGACAGATTGTATGAATACACATATAACATTTATCAATAAGCATTAGGTATTTACAGTAATATTTACTTCGGCTAAAAAAATAGTGGACCCTTTTCAATAATAATAAGGAATTCCTTATGATACTACTAAAATCCTTTATTCACCACAACCTGAATTCCTATACAAAGTATATACTCAATAACTTTGCATAGAATTCTACTGTGAAAAGGATATATCAAATTTTTTGTTGTAAAGTAACTCCTATACATTTAAAAAATGATTCCATTTTCTAAGTATTTTTTTCCAAGTCATTTGGTGAATACTAATAGAATCTCTAGGAGTACATAATTTTTGCAATTAGAAAAGTATCTAAAGAGAAAAAGTTCTGCATAATATCTACCTACTTTTAAACATAAATATAGTTTTCATTTCAGCAAATTAACTATTACAATATGAATAAATAAATTTAAGTTTTTCCTATTGGTTAATTCCTGCATTACCTGCTTTTAATTATTTTAGAATGGAATAATATGTAGATAGATCCAGAAGCAAATCTCTTATAGTATACAATAAAAAATACCATCTAGAAACTCCCATAAACAGTAAGAAACACCCTGCTGAACAGTTTGCAAGATGAATTAAAAAGAAACAGTCATACAAAAGTAATCAGAAAAAGATACTCCTGGCCCTGCTAGGAGCTTTTGATGTCAACATCTATTATTTAGGGGTTAGGGTGTTCTGGGCTTGCACAGGTATCCTGGGAGCAAGATCAAAACGTATAAGACACTGATCCTGTTCCTCAGCAATCTGCCAATCAACCAAGTAAGATTAGCGCATATGTATCACTATACAACAGGAGTTAGAGAGACTCTTAAGTCCTAGAATGTGCAGGCAGAGCAGTCACAGAAGTCTGGGATACCTGTAAGAACTCCAGCATGGTGCAGCCTGGGCTGAATGAACAAGGACTAAGTGCCTCTGGGCATCTGTGACTTGACAGGACCCCATCTCCCCCGCCTTTGAAGAGTCTCACATTCCCTAGTTGTTACCCTCTTTATATGCACATGTATCACAGCATTTAATTATTTTATTGTACTAATGCCTCCATTCATTCAACAGTTACTGAGTACCTACCAGGTGCCAGGCATCGTTCTAGGAGCTTGAGAATTTCAGTGACCAAAATCCCTTCCCTTGTAAAACTTATATTCTAGTAGAGGGAGACAGACAATGAACTAAAAATATAAGTTATGTAAGATGTTAGAAGACAACATTAAAAGAAAAAGAGTACAAAGGCAGAGGGCAGACAACAATTTTCAATACTAGAGTTAGGACAGGCATTATTGACAATGTAGCATTTGAGTAAACACTTAAAGAAGGCACAGACAAAAGAAGCCAAACAGGTGTCTGGAGGAAAATGGGTCTGGGAAAAGGGAAGTGCCTGCACAAAGGCTGGAAAGTAGAACACCTACCGAGCATGTTTAAGGTACAGCAGCTGGGGTAGAGTAGAAGAGGAGGAAGATAGGAGATATAAGGCAAAAGGCAGCATAAAACAGGAGCTGAAGCAGCTAGGGTCAGAGCATAGGAGTACCCCAACCTGATACATGTGGGTTTTTAGCAATTTTAATTCACAGTATGGAAAAAATTTTTCAAATGCTAAACAAATCCAGTGATAAAAGGGTAAGTTTGGGGGATAAGTCTCAAGGGAAAAAAAAGAAGAAAAGCACACCTGATGTACGTCTTAAACCTATCACTGGCTCCTATGCTGAGAACAGTGTTGGGGAACAAAGATATACAATTAGAAGCAACACAAACATAAGATGCTAGGAGCTTGAATCAATAGCATTATTTTTTAAATATCTTACTCATTTCTGTCAATACTGACTGGACTTTTAGTTTCCTAAGGCTAAGAACTGAACTTTATTCAGTTGGTATCTTGATGCCCAGTGCTATATAAAAGTCATTAGGCTTTTAGTACATAGAGAGAAGGGAGAGATGGAGAAAAAAGGGGGGAGGGAGAAAAAGAGAAAATAGTTATTACATGAACAAAAAAAATACAGTAAAAATCAAGGGAACGTTCTCCCACTGTCTGAAAACAGAAAACCCTTGTAAAACTATAAACTCATGACTTGACTTCAGCAATTTGACAAAGATAAGGGTCATCTGTCCCGATTCCAATAGAACCATGTCTTATACAACAAAATGGCACTAGCCACAGCTTGACGACAAAAATAAGGCAGCGATTTTTCCTCTCTTACTTGGAGAAGTTTGTCGTATCGCTCAGCAGACATGAGAAACCGTCCATCTTCAAGCTGCATCTCCCGATTTTCCAGAAGGTTGTTTAAAACAGGCAGAACATTCCTCTCCGCCTTTTCCAAGCCTTCCAAAACGAGAATTCTGCCTTCTGTGGCTGCACGAACTGCACACTAGTTCCAGGAAACACAAAAGCAAAATGAGAATAACGTATTTGCAAAGCCTCACCTAATGTTCCTTATAATGAAAATTAAACTTAGTTTTGTTATAGGGACCAAGATTCAAGAGGGGTGCATTCGAGATCTTGCTTTGGTTTCTCTACCTATATGATTTCACCTCTTTTGGCCAGTTTATTCATGGGTAAAATAAATTGAAAGGAAGAGGTCACCTCTAAGTTTCATTTTAGCTTTAACATTTTAAATACCCAAAGAAATGGAAAACTAACAGCAATCTATAAATGTGTAACATAATTAAGCAAGGGACAGAGTCCACAAGTGGAAAAGAGAAATGAAGATAGCAATCTGCCCTATCTGTCCCACAAGCTTCTTGTGAGGATCAGATCAGCTACGTGTTTGTAAACACGTGTCACCATCAAAATGAATTCAGGTTCTGTGCAATGCTGGATAATGACGACATTATACACCTAGCAAAACAAAAAAAAAAAGAGGCAAGATTTACAGTGGCCTACACCAGACTGATTTAACTTGAACTCTAAGTCTTCCAATGAATTTTAAGAAAATTATTAATGGAGAAAAATGAAAAATATAAAGTAAACCCCCAAGTGATAAAAGACAGAAAAACTATAATACAAAAAAGAAAAAAAAATTACTGAAGATGTGAAAAATATTCTCCTTCAACTGATAGGTACTGAACAGCACAGGAATAAAACTATTCTTTGTTCAAAATCCTTGAAAACCTATTAAAAAGGAAAATGCTTATATTTCTTATATAAGTATTCAATAACAAAGGAATGAATAATGGTACTCAATTTATATCCTCACATCCTCCTTAAAAAGTCTTTTCTGGTTTCCATGACACTGCATTCTCTTAGAAAAACTATTTCTCCTTTTCTGGTTGCCCATTAAAAGCAGGTAATGCCCAGAATTACATCATTAACACACAGCTCTTCTTACTCTACAAGGTCCTTCCTGAGAAAACTTAATCAATCACACAGTTTCAACTATCACCTTTATGTAAATGACCACCTAATCTCACACTCCCCCTAACTATGTATTCCCATCATTTGGATAGATCCAACCAGATCCCAGAAGCATGTCAGGCTCCCCTCTACACACTAACCATACCTCTATTTCCCTCCCCAACCTGCTTCTCTTCTTACACCTTCTGTTTTAGATGGGAGTACCATTCACTCACACCAAGACTACTGATTCCTATCTCACTTCCAACATTTAATTTATCACTACATCCAGATTGTTTAACTTTAATATTTCTTTTTTTTTTTTTCAAGACAGAACCTCAAGCTGTTACCCTGGATAGAGTGCCATGGCATCACTGCTCACAGCAACCTCCAACTCCTGGGCGCAAACGAATCTCCTGCCTCAGCCCCCAAGTAGCCACCACAACACCTGGCTATTTGGGGGTTGCAGCTGTCATTGTTGTTTGGCGGGCCCGGGCTGGATTCGAACCCACCAGCTCAGGTGTATGTGGCGAGCGCCTTAGCCGCTTGAGCCACAGGCACCGAGCCTTCATATTCCTTGAATTCCTTCCTTGCCCTCCCCTACTTCAGGCCCTTCTTACCTCTCAGATCTCTGTAGTTGTTCCAGCTCTTTAATTTGTCATATAAGCCTATCACGGTTTGTTACTCTCCAACACTGTCTCCTGACATTAGTTGCGTCACATGTTTTCATGAAAATGAACTGGTTGTGATCTCCTACCCACCATACACACCACACTGCTTTACTAGAAAACCTGTCTTTCTTATACTGACCCCTTTGCTTAAAATTCAATTTTCCCTAAAAATTAGCCCAAAACAGATCTGAACGTTTGAAGGCGGAAAATGTATCTCTATTTTTTTAAGACTTCATATCCAAATAAATTCCTGGAGTAGCAGAGCTACATATTTTCTCAGTGTGGAAGAGAAAAGGGGCATTGCTTACTCACTCTTACACACTACTTTCTTTTAATAAACTGTTGATTTTATTCTGTATAGTAGAGCTTGATTTATTTCAAGTGTCTTTGTACTACTATAAAAGAACAAACTTTTATAAGAGCCATATTAGACTCAAGATAATCATCCACTTTAAGAATAAAATGTATTCATGAATAATCCTTCAAATCTATCATTTTGCATGTATTTTAATATTTTAATTCTCTACCAAACTAGTCACATTGCTGTAGTAGCTTTATTTTAAAAAACAAAAAATGTAGCAAGTAACTCAGTAAAGCTCCTAAAGAACAAAATAATAAGAATCTCATTTTTGCCAGCTGTGTAAAGGACAAAGCCATGGACACAGCTTCTGGGGCGTTAACAATCAAAACACAAACTATTTTTTTTAGGGGGGGAACTACAGGCACCTGACACAACACCTGGCTATTTTTAGAGATGAGGTCTCACTGTGGCTCAGGCTGGTCTCATACTCCTGAGCTCAGGCAATCCACCCGCTTTAGCCTCCCAGAGAGCTAGGATATAGGCATGAGCTACCACACCCAGTCCCATTTCATCTATTTAAAAAGTGTTGGCTGGGCAGGGTGGCTCAGGACTGTAATTCCTAGCACTCTGGGAGCCTGAGGCAAGTAGATCTCCTGAAAATAGAAAAACTAGCCAGGCATAATGGTGGGCACCTGTAGTTCCAGCTACTTGGAAGGCTGAGGCAGAAGGATCACGTGAGGCCAGGAGTTTGAGGTTATTGTGAGCTATGATGCCACAGCACTCTACCCAGGGCACAGTGTGAGAGCCTGTGTCAAAAATAAAAATTTTTTAAAAAATAGATAAAGACTTTGAAACTAATTCATAGCTTTTATAGGAATGTCATAACCTAATTATAGCCTTAAAATATGGGTAGGGGGTAGGAGGGGGAGGCGATGGAGGTGGATAGGGGGAGGGAGGGAGATTGTTGGGGTCACCTCTGTGTTTTATCTTACAAGGGTAGAAGTGAATCTTTCTAAAAGCACAGTATGAACGTTTTAACTCAATAACTAAGAAAATGACATGAAGTTATGTTAACCAGTTTGACGAGAGTATTTCAAAGTGTGTATGAAAACAGCACAATGTACCCCATGATTGCATTAATGTACACAGTTATGCTATAAGAAATAAAAAAAAAAGATAAAGAAAAGTGTTCACTTTCAAAGTGTAAGACACTGAGCCTTTCAAGCATCAATATTTTTACCAAATTCTCAGCACTTGTCCCCTGAAACTTCATGAGAAAAACAGGAACAAAGTGGTTTGAGAAGGAAGAAGACATAGCTTTGCCAGCAAAGGGAGAAAATGGCTCAAAATCCAAATGCCTCACAAACTACTTCTTACAAAAATTCATGCTTCAGTATTCTCAAGCTTTTGTTCATAAGAATATATTTAAGAATTTAGCTCAGAGGGCAGCGCCTGTGGCTCAGTGGGTAGGGCAGTGGCCCCATATGCCAAGGGTGGAGAGTTCAAACCCGGCCCCGGCCAAACTGCAACAAAAAAATAGCCAGACGTTGTGGCAGGCACCTGTAGTCCCAACTACTCGGGAGGCTGAGGCAAGAGAATCACCTAAGCCCAGGAGTTAGAGATTGCTGTGAGCTGTGATGCCACAGCACTCTACCCAGGGCAATAAAGTAAGACACTGTCTCTAAAAAAAAAAGAATTTAGCTCAGAATTTAAAGAAAAAGATAGTAAGTTATCATAACCTGTGGCAAAATTATATTTAAAAAGTTAAAATTTTTACCAATCTTTGTATAAGACAGATAAAATATTGAATTTGACTTTGGAAAACTCTATAGGGATAAAATTCATGTTCTCTGAGATAAAACTAAAAATATACACATCAAAATTTAGTGGTTCACCAACTATGGACTAGAGAAAACAAAGTCTTGACAATGTAAGACAACAACAAACACTGCAGGTCTGCTTTTATTCACCTCAGGCCTACTTGAGTCTTGTAAGCACTGAATCTTTTCAGAGGAATTCAAAATAAACAATGAACAGATCAGAAACAGAAGCCAAATACACGAAGTATTCCTTTCATCTATTCCAAGGGGGGTACCGTGACCATAAAGTTGAGAAAGTAGTGATGGATGGAAAAAAGAAAATGCCATCTTATAAACTTTTGAAAATCTGATCAATTATGCACCTGTTTCTCCCAGGTGTGTATACACACACGCATACACAGACACACACCTGTATGCATTATATATATATATATATATACATACACACACATAATCACACATATATATATATAGTAGGGACCTAGTGCACACCTGTATGTATTTTTATATATATATATAGTGGGGACCTCAAGTTAAAAACCTCTACTACTAAAGAATGATAGAAATAGAAAATCACCCACAATAATAATAACGGTTGTAGGCAACAGTTATTTTACCATTAATGGATGGCAAAATTAGTTATTTTACCATTAATGGATGGGTAAATGTATGACGAGAAACAGAATATCTGTATCCACTCAAAATATCTCCCCACAGGATACTGTATGACAAAGTGGAAAATAATATGACACTGGAGAAACTTGATTATTTACCAAATGATCAAAGTAAGTGTGACCAATAATGAGATGTATCAATTTCACATGTTAAGAGTCCTAAGACGATGTCCTGAAATGGGCACAGTATCACTTCTATAGTGTTCTTGCTAAAGATGCATGACTTCGAGCAACTCAGGAAGAACATCAAACAAACCTACACTAGCAACATTCTGCAAAATAACTGGCCCCTAAGAAGGAGAAGGAACAGGTCTGCTACGTGGACTCAGTAGGGCATAGTGGGGGTGATGGCAGGCTTTTTTTCTTTCATGATTCAAAGACTTCAACATGTTCAAATGAGACGAGGAGCTAGCAGAGGAGTACAGAAATGATAGTATATAATTACTGAAATTAAACTAAGGAAGCTGCCTCTTGATAGTTTGGTCTACCTACTGAGTAGGAAAGGGATAAGGCCCTAAAGGTTTGTTTCAGGCTCTTCCATTTATGCTACTTAATTTTATGATAATTCT